ATTTGTTAAAAGGGTTGGTCAGTGGCTAGTGAAAATGGGACATTTTTCTCATCTGAAAATTTAACCAATTGCTGAGATTAATAGAAATAAAGTGTTGAATATTGATATTATCTATTTCCCACCTTGTTAAGTCATTGTTTATAATTATTGTGAGAAATCATCAACGTGATTTGTCTTCTGTGTCTTCACATAGATGAGTATCATTTATCATTAATAATACAGTGTAATATATAACTAAAGGCAAACTGAGCAAATTTGTTATTTCAGAAGAGTGTATCAAACTGGTAGCCCCTCGTATGACTCAGTACCCATGAAGTAGCTCTCAGTTTCAAAAAGGTTGGTGACCCTTGACATAAACCAATTATAAAGTTGATTGCATGAAATCTATAGGAAGAGTAGGATTTTGTAGTATGCGTGAAAACGCCAAAAATCAAGCCAATCAAGCAATATGCGTGTTCAATCCAAAATGGCGGCTTTCCTGTTGGGTGGCCAAGGGTAGGTACAGGAGTTTTTGTACATCTTGGCATGATACACATGTGTGCCAATTTTTATTACTCTAGGCAAAAGTAAAGGGGTAGTAAGACCGTCATTGAAAATATCAAGGGGGCACTATTGCACTATTGGATGTATGTTGCTGTAAACTTTACAGCAACATACATACATTACACACTGGACCTTTAATAAGGTCCAGTGTGTAATGTACACACAGATTTAGTTGAAAGGGAACTATTGGCAGAAATTTTATGTATAATAATACTCATGATCTTTTCACTAATTCATTTCATCTAAATTGTATGAATTGTAGTTTTCTTTACCCTAGATAAGGCCCTTTATATTTAAATACTTTATATTTACCTCGAGGGGACCCTCTCTACGGAGGCCGCCATGTTTTCTACAGTAGTCTAGACTGGACAAACTAAACACCTTTTGAGTTTTTACAACAACTGAAGGCTACCAAAGATTCTTTTTCATGTTCGGAAGGAGAGGGTGAGGTGAGGGGTGTTCAGCTGCAACATGCAATTTCAACACTCAATATCACTAAACACTACACACTGTACCTTTAAAATATGTAAAGGTACAGCAGACCTGATGCGCCTGCATAATTTGGTCAGTTTTTAAGCATGTGCAGTGATGTTACAACCACTTCCATTTGGTTGGCTTTCTGTCAAAGTGAAGACCATCGTCATTCAACGTAGAGGCGTAAGTTATACCATATGGCTTCACCAACGTGTCAAGCCTTCCCTGACCTATTTTTCAAATTTTATTTATCAAATGAAAAATGCTAGGTGAAAGCAGGTCAAAGTATAAAACATGGTACTTCCTGTCACAACTAGGGGGTGCTGAGACTATTAAAGTATATTTGCCTATAGAACTCCTTTGAACCTTTGAACCTTTGAACTCTTTGGGGTGGGTTCATTATCACACATACAGTATACAGTTTGACAGTAATTGTAGCAAAAACATCAAAGTTAAAGCTACTTGAAAGCTCTGGGCGAGACATCTAGATTCACCGCCATGCCAAGGACATGGCCTATGGTGAAAACCCACAATTTTGATTGTATGGCATCCTCTTAAGGCTCTTTTAAATAGATGGAAAGATGAAAGCAAACAGATGTTTAAAGGTAACCAATTCCAATCTGAGGGAGCCTGAAACATAAAAGCTTTTATGCCGACTTCTATGTTAACAAATGGGACTGTAACGAGAGAGAGGTCAGAGATTCTAAGTGTATAATTGAATGTGTAGGGAACAAAAAGCTGTTTCAGGTAATAAGAATAATCAAAATTAATACACTTAAAAATAAATTGGTAATAGTGAAATTCATGTATTTTGTCTAAAGGGAGCCACCTGAGTGTTTCAAACATAATGCAGTGATGTGTAAAAAAATAAATAACCTAAAATAAATCTACATAGCTGATTATAAATAACATTAAGTGGCTGGAGATCAGTTTTGGATGCATTATGATGGACAATATTCACATAATCGATTATTGGGAGGATGAGTTGTGACACAGTTCTGACATTTGAGTTAAAACTGTGCCTGGAACGAAACAGAACACCAACACCAGAACTAACTTTTTTAAGGACATGATCTATGTGTGATTTAAAGGAAAGTCAGAGTCGATCCACACACCGAGATATTTATATGAGTCAGTTTTCTGAAATTACAGGGTTAGATTTGGAGTTAAGGTTGTCTCATGCCTAATAGCATTGAGTATGTTTTTGTTTAATTAAGTATTCATTTATTAGCTGACAACCAGGTCTGAAAAATGTCAAAGTCAGATTGCAAGGACTCTTACATTTGTGAAATGGAGGCTTTTGATGTGTAAATAATAGTATAATCAGCATAAGTGGAAGATCAATAATACAAATAGAAAAGGGGTCCTAAAGTAGATCCTTGAGACACACTTCTCTGTTGAATCAGTAAATCAGATTTACAGCCTCTCAAAACAATACACTGCTTTCTGTTGTGGAGATATGAGTTAAACCACATTAAAGCATGATGAGAAAGACCAATGGCATGGAGCTTGTCAAAAAGCAAATAGTGATCAACCAGATAAAAAGCTTCGGTGAGATCAATAAATATCACTCCTGTGAGATGACCACGATCAAAAGCAGAAGAGACCTTTAGTGAATTTTGAGAGTGCAGTAGTTGTGAAGAATTTTATATCTGAAACCAAACTGATATTGAGAAAGGATATTATTACTGTTAAGGTACTGTGATAATTGGTTAAAAATAACTTTTTCAAATACTTTTGCTTTGGAAGATATAATTGAAATAGGTCTGTAGGTCTGGGATCAAGCGTGTCGTCCCCCTTGTAGAGGAGTAATATGTGCAGTTTTCCAAATGGCTGGCATTTTGTATGTATATAATACATGGAATGATGTTTCTTAGTTACAAGTACAATTCCAAAACTTTATCTTTCCATGTCTGATGAAATATGTCCCATGCTTTATCCCTCTGTCTAAAAAGTGATATGAGTTCAGAATTGATCCAAGGTAAGTGTTTGCCTTTAACTTTTGATCATCACTTTGGTAAATTCATCGTAAAGGAAATCCCAAGCATTTTGAACATCAGGTATAAGCTGGAATCTATCCAAATTAATAGCAATTAAATCAGACATAAATGTGTCTTGATCCATTTTTTTATACTCTCTGACTTTGGTACTTTCCATACACAAAAGACTATGGAGTGGTCACTAAAACAATCTGACAAAACACCAGCTTTTGCAAACCTATTTAAATATGAGACAAGAATGCAATCAAGTAAAGACTGAGAGGTAGGAGTGACTTTGCTGTGTTCATTAATTAGCTAGGTTCAGATTAGAAAAATAGTTTTATCTCTGCTGGAAGACCTATCTAACCAATTTTTGTTAAAGTCACCTAAAGTAATAAATTCATTGCTGCAATCAATGGAGTGTATGGTTCAACTCAAGCAATTAAATGACTCAACAGGTGCGGCTGGG